CCTGCAGTCCATAGGTCCTGAATTTCCTTAGTTCCACATGCTAAGTAATGTGTGTTGTGAAAAGGCTTCTCTGAACATTTTAGGGAAACGTACACTTCACACCAAAATCCACACTCTCAGTCACAAAGCAATATTGACACCTTGTTTAATCTCCATTGTGAATATTTATGCACATCACTTCCCACATGGGGGGTGGGTAGGGGCCTGCACTTTGTGGATAGAGCAGTAAAGTCTGTCTACACAGAAGCACATTCCAGATGATGGAGACTGGAGAGAAGCGAGTGAAGGAAATAGCGTCATATTCGGGGGTGATAATGTGCCATGAAGTCAGACTGTATGGCGATAGATGGCAGTTCCTGGTCATTCTGAGCACCGGCTTGAAGGAAGATAATGCAAACCATAAGATATTTTGGAGGACAGTATTCACAAAATAGAAGACGGCAAGTTCGATGCCCTGTGTTCAATACACATTTGGGGAGTTCAAAGAACAAACTACCAGACCTCTGTGACAAAGGAAAAATAAGGGAAAGTTTTGCAGTGAGATAAGAGGGTTCAGTTGAAGATGAAATCGCCCAAGCCATGAAAGGTGGTTTTTTTATTCCAAATTGCATGCACTGTGAAGAGTTTGATCGGAATAGTGATCTGACATTGTTTAAAAAAATTTATTCATACAGAACTGGGGTACAGGCCAGAGGTGCATGGGTGGCGAGAAGATTCGCCAGAGTGGGGAGCAAAACAGGCTGCCTGATGAAGCACACTGCTGAGGGGAGCAGGCAGGTGGGTCACCTCCAGGGTAGGGATTGAACTCACATTGAATCAGCTGCGCGGCCAGCTTGCAGTGCTGTTGCACCACCAGGGAGGACCAGAGGAACATTTTTTGACTCATAGTTTCTACCTCCATCATTACCACCAGCACAGTACCAGCTTCGGATCTATGTGCGTTTCCGCTTCCGCTCTTGAACTTTTGGCCTTCTCAGAAGGATCCTGGCGATTATTGTTAGGCTCCAAATAATCTAAGATAATCTCTGTACTTCAAAATCACATCAGGTATATAAGGGAATGTTAAATCTAGGGATTTAAATATGAACATTTTCAGTGCCTCATTCAGTCTACCAGTTAAAGATTTATTTCAATCTTTAAAATAAAGTGGAACAGGCAGACTGCTGAAGTACACTGCTGGCTGAGGGGAGCAACGGACAGGCCTGTAAAGGGCTGCTCACACCATGTGGTCACCCCCTTAGCAGGGATTGAACTCCTATTGCAGTGGCTTCAAAGTGCTACGCCTTAATCCATTGCATTACCAGCGAGGGCCCTCTTGTAACTTTTTTTTTTTTTTAAGATTTATTTAAAAAAAAAAATCTTTACAGACTGGGGCACAGACCAGAGGTGTGCTGAGTGAGAGGATTCACCAGAAGACAGAGTGGGGAGCAGAACAGGCAGATCTACTGAAAGACACTGCTGAGGGGAGCGGTATCCGCAGAGGGGGCGGGTATCAGGAGAGGTCTGCGGTACCATGTGGGTCAGCTCCCTGGCCAGGGGATGGAACTCGTGATGCAGCGGCTTCAGATTGCTTCACAGTGCGGTTCTTTAACCCACTGCACCACCAGAGAAGCTTCAAGCTTCCTTTTTTAATTCCAGACATTCCTTTGTGATAGTACTAATCTTTGGCTCTGGCCAAATAATGACTTTAATACTAGCCATCACTCCAAATGTCTATGGAGTACCTCTATTTTTCCGTTTCTACATTATTTGGTCCCTTTGAGACCCAACCAGCCTGTGTTTTCTTCTACTCTGAAAAAAACTGTTATTTCTCCAGTATTTTAAGATTCAAATTAGTTTAAGTAGTGACACAAGCTATGCAACCTCTGTCGACAGAGGATGTATGGATGGAGGGGAAACGCTCCGAAAAATCAAACTTCCACGCCGACTTCTGTCATGACCTACCTTTTTTGTATAATCGTTATACCAAACTATTCTGGGCAACCTTCAGCTTACAGTTGGATTGCCTCAGCCTCAGAAGGCGCTGCCTGGCCCTGACAAGCAAGCAGTGCTCCACTGAATAACCACTCAAGCTTTCTACTATCTAGTCTTTGGATATGGAAATTCACCCAAGTGGTCTATGCAGAGCTAATCAGGTTTTCTACCATCTACACTTCAAGAAAACTCACTTAAACTTTCTAACAAGTTTTTCAAAGAGCCTTACCTTAATTTGATTTACAAGAAATTTCCTCTTCCTGCCCTCACTACTTTACCCCCTAGGATGTCTCTATAGGAGAATGAAAGCCCTTAAGTAACATAATATTTCAGGGACTTTATTTTGGGTAATCTTCACTGTGACAAATATAGTAATATTAGTCTTAAACTTTGTGAATCTATGTACCTATTTTAGCCCTGATAGATTGATTTTCAAAATGTTATAATCTCAACTGAAGGCCAAAACGGCCCCAGACTATTCTTAGCAAAAAGGTGATCCAGATCTCAACCCATTTCATATGCTAATGTCATCCTCCGGCTTGCTTGAAACGCATAAAATAAACCTCTGCTGAAGGTAGAGTTGAAGACGTGCACCCAACTCCCATTCCCGTGTCTTCCTCGCTCCCGCTCCCTTTTTCTAAGAATCGCCGCTCGCTCGCCGACGCCATTCCCACCTTGAGACCCTGTCTGTTCTGGCCCGCAGTAATCCGTGATCAGGGACGGAGTCTCCGACCACTAAGTTTGCCAGAGAAACGGACTTCACTTGATTTCTGAGGTACAGCAGTTCCACAGTAGCCGACTCCATGAGTGACCCAGATCTGAATCACCACCTTGTTGTGCTGTCCTGAATAGTCATTCTGCCTTCTCACAAATACTTCACACTACTGTAGCCTCCTGAAATCAACTTACCTCCCCCCAAATAAAAGCAATCTACATTCTCCTACTCAGTTATCCAGCGTAATTTCTAGATTGTCTGTGCTTAGTTTGGTCTAGAACCATGAACTAAAGGTGTTGGGGCTACCCTTAAACTGAGCAGCTCAACTCTGAAACCTGAGGGAACACCTGTTTTCTGGAAAAAACGTCTAATGATGGTGCTTGTTCTCTGTCACTCATACGGGGAGCTTTAATTCAATCCCCCAAGTGTAAACAGTAGCCCTACCTACTCACATGGAAAAAAATATATCAGTGGTAGCCAAGCATCAGCATTTTAAAAGTTCCCCAGATGATTATAATCATTGCATTTGAGAACCACTTATGTAGGACTAAAGCGATTATTAATGACAATAGAATACTGAGTAAAAGAAAGAGAAATGCCCCGGTAAAAATGTACATGACAGGGTCACCACTACCAAATTAATTATATTTCATAATGAAGCATAAGAAAATCCTGGGCCTCCCTAATGAGCCGGGAATTAAGTCTCAGCTCTATCAAGCTTGCACCTGCCAATGCAGCATGAGTAAAATTCCCCAGCCAAGGAGCTGACCTACATAGAGCAGCAGACTGTCTCCTCCCTGCTCCCCTCAGCAGTGCATTTCAGTAGATCCACCTGTTGTTACCCATGGTCTCTGTAGAACCCTCTCAGGACTCTACCCTAAGTCTACACCCCACTCCTTGTATGCTTAAAGCTTAAAAGAAAAAAAGAAAACACGGAAACAAAGTCTTTCAAGAACACTAATACAGGGGAAATAAGGCCTGGAAGAAAATACCCTTCGACATCTCTTCTTTGGTCCTTACCGGTAGGTCTGTGTTCTCTACCCTGGGCCCTAGATACACCTCAAACTGTAGTCCCCAACCTCCATTTGAATTATCAAAGCACTCAAACTGGCATCACCTGAAATACCCTCCACTGCTCCATCCCACACCTCTTCCAGTTATTTCATCCATTTACAGCGCCACCAGTTTTACATTAGCTTGTCAAACCTGGAGAATTTCTGCAAATGCTGTTCCTCAGGCCTGTTTTTTTTTAACTTCCAAAACACAATCCTAACCCCAAACCCCATCACTGTCTTATTCCACCATCAGACTACGTAAGGCGCCCCCACTTTACCAAGCGTAAGAACCCACAGATAGCATTAACAAAATTACAGGGGCATGCGCGCTTATTTTCACTGTTAGGTCAACAAGGTCGATAACAGGTATAGAACCTTAAACCTAACATTTACAACTAAGTGTAACAAACGCACAACCAAATCTGTCGTCATTGTTAACAGCAGGGTAACCGATTAGTTTGTGTGGGCTGCAGCAGTGGTTCGTTAGGTCTGTTCTGTGAACCCGAAGTTGTACGGTGTTTTCATGTTGAATGCTGAGATTTGTGTATATGCATTCGTTTGTTCGTGGATGCCGGTGAATTTACTTTAGCTACTGTTTACTGTATGCACTGCTAAACTGTTAACGTTATTTCAAATATCAATGAAAAGCTACTTTTAACAGCTCTTTCCCGGCAGTCGGAGGCGGCTCTGCAGAGCCTCGCGCGGCGAGTGGGGCGCCAAGCCGCGGCTGGCCGGACTCCCTTGGGACTCCCTTGGAGCTGGTGTACTTGGTGTCGGCCTCAGCGCCCTCGGACACGGTGCGCTCTAAGCCCGCGACGTGATGGTCGAGCGCCTGCTGTGGCGCGCCAGGCGGGTAACCTCGCCGGCTGTGACGGGGTAGATCCGCTTGAGCACCTTGTATGCGTACAAGAAGACAGGTCTCCTTGGGGCTGCGCTTGCGCTTCTTGCCGACTTGGCCGGCTGGCGCGCGGCTCGGCGGGACAGGGCGAGCAGCGGCGAGCGGCGGCCGGAAGCGCTTGGGTATTTATAGCGGCAGTACGCAAATGAGGGTTCTGCGGACGCCGCGCCGTGATTGGCGAGCTCTCGGCGTCGCTCGAGCGGGGGGGGGGCGAGATTATGCAAATGAGCGGATCGTGGCCGAGCCGTCCCATTGGTCCCGAGCACAAAGCCGGGGCCCGGCCAATCAAAGGGCGCGGTGCACAATCGGGGCCCAGCCTATAAAAGGGTGCCGCGGCGGCGTTGAGGGCGACTCGGTCGGCAGTCTCGGGGCTGGTCGTTTGCGCTGTTGGTCGCAGTGATGTCCGGCCGTGGCAAGCAGGGAGGCAAGGCCCGCGCCAAGGCCAAGTCGCGCTCGTCCCGCGCCGGCCTGCAGTTTCCGGTGGGGCGGGTGCACCGCCTGCTGCGCAAGGGCAACTACGCCGAGCGGGTGGGCGCCGGCGCGCCCGTCTACATGGCGGCCGTGCTGGAGTACCTGACGGCCGAGATCCTGGAGCTGGCGGGCAACGCGGCCCGCGACAACAAGAAGACGCGCATCATCCCGCGCCACCTGCAGCTGGCCATCCGCAACGACGAGGAGCTGAACAAGCTGCTGGGCAAGGTGACGATCGCGCAGGGCGGCGTGCTGCCCAACATCCAGGCCGTGCTGCTGCCCAAGAAGACGGAGAGCCACCACAAGGCGAAGGGCAAGTGAGGCGGCGCCCGACGGCTCCCGGCCCGGCCTCGGCGGCGGGCCCCGTGTGAAATCCAAAGGCTCTTTTCAGAGCCACCCACTCCCTCAATAAAAGAGCTGTTACCGTTTACTCAGGGCGTGTTGCCTCCCGTCCCCCTCCCTGGACCCCCGCCCCTCGGGTCGGCGCCAGCCGTCCGGCGCCTCTGACCGCCGCCCCCCTTCGCTTT